CATGCATAACACGGCATAACACCGGAGCCCCGCTGCGGGGAAACTTTGGCGCTGTTCTGAGTTTGTTCTAATCTGTCAAAATGACGGACAACTTGCAGATTTTTCCATCATTGTTAAAAAAAATCCGTCATAGACGAAAAATATTCGGTTAACGCAAACTCTGCCACAGACATATATTGGTCAGTATATCCTAAGTATTGAGGAAAGAGAGCCAACCCTTATTTTAGGTAGGCAGTATTAGAGGTTGCACCAAACAGCCCATATTTTAATATAACATAATTGCTATACATGAAATAATTGCTATACTTGTAATGACGGTCTGGCTAAGATTCATGATCTAAAAGCTGTAGCAGAGATATTATTCTCTGACAAGAGTCCAATTCTGTTGAACAAATTAACCAACTGGTGTAAAGTTGTTATTACACACTACAACTGTTGCCTTTTGCATGCAAAGAGCGGTTTCATCTTGTTGGCCAGGAAGTAAGCGAAATATATCAACTGTCCAAAAGCATAAAGTCTAGTGAAAACCATAAAAAGTATTCCCTTGCTGAGACTTCATAGTTTGTTTGTTCTCTTCCTTACTCTGCCTCTTAACCCAAATCCTCTTCTGACCTGCTAGAGTTTTCTTTTCCCTTGACTGAAATATTCTCTTCTGGCAGAACAATTCAAATAAGACAAAGTGTCCGTGGATACACACAGTCTTCAGAGCTTGTCCTTTTGCACGTTGGCTCCTCGTCGGCAGCTTGTATTGGATGCAAATTGGGTATTAAAAGAGGGGAGAGAAACATGAGATAGCGTGTGACGGACTGGCTGAGAAGAGGGAAAGAGTGCGAAGGTTAGAGTGAGAGGCTTAATGCGAGGAGAGAATGCAAATGCTGTTGAGACAGGGATGGATGGATGGAGGGGAGCTGGATGGATGGTTGGATTAAAAGGAGAAAAGGAGACGAGGGTCAGGTGACAGTGTGACTTTTTGGCAGGGTCAGAGTTTTTCTCCGGACGACACGACGGAGCTGGATTTGCATTGATGGATCTTTTTTCCATGGGAATGTCATGTATCAGTGCTTGGGCACATCACGCCCCGGTCATTAATCAAATCATGGCCTCCGTCGAGGGCTATCTGTCTGTCTGACGGACTCTTTTCATCTGTCTACCTCTCTCTCTTTGTAGTATCCTTGGTCAGCCCTTTTCCTTTCTGACTTACTTTTTACTTTTTTTATTTATTGAAACTAATGCCTTTGCACTGGCTTAGAACAAATCTGTACAGTTACATTTCAACAGGCATTTGAAAAAGAGGATTTCTGTACCATAAACACTTGTTGTAGAACTAGGAAAAGTAGTTTCTGCAGTAATGTAGTATCATTGATGGGCACAGGTAGTAATTATGGTACAGGCCAAATATAGACTGGTGATACACTTGGCAGAAATGTCTTACATTTCAGAATGATTTTAAATCACAACTTAATTAAAAAATCCTTAAACTATTTCTAAGTGTAAAAGTATGTAAGGCAAGGCACATTCATTCATATAGCACAAACTAAAACAATCTAAACAAGAAAGGTCAACATACAAGAATGAAACAGCATTTTCGAATAATTTCTTTTTTTGATTTAATAAAAAGCAATAATGTAAACACACATTTACAAAAAGCATATGTAGTCTTTATTCTGATATTTGTTTTAATCTTTCTAAAATGATGGACATGATTTCCACTCCCAATCTTTGACATTAGTAGAGGTAAACACTCCCTTTATCATTTGTTAGCATACCTTTACTCATTTTGTCTACAAGCCACCACATCCACAGACACACACACTTCACTGCTGCCTGTCGCTCAGACATCCAAGCTGTCTTCCCATGTATCATCGTCTGGCCGTCCGTGATCTCCAACACGTTCCACATTAAGTCGTCTTCCCCGTCTTCACTGGGGGGGTTATGACAGTTGAGGAGCACTTGGCCTTGAGTGACAGCACGCCATGATCATCAACTCCCGCATCTGTTCTAGGACCCACAGTGAGGCTTATTTTTTAAGGGTGGGGGATTACCGTGTATAAAGCATTGAAGCTCCTTTTTTGAATGACGATGTTTGATTCGTCAACACCCCCACCCCCAAATCTCAACCCTCCACCCCCTTCTTTGCTGAAGCACCATTATGGCTATTCAGGCTGCTTCCTGTACTGATTTCCCCCCCCTCCCCTCCCCTCAACACAAAAGGTGGCTGCCCAAGCTCTCGGGGTGTAGCTTTTTGAAATCTGGAGGACTTTCAGGATCGGCCCCCGGTACAGACCTCTGTTGGTCTTACCAATAGAGGAGCAGAAGGAAATGAAGGACAAGTTTGTGTAATGGTCTCCTCTCCAACTCTGAAGGTCATGCGGCATTGTGGGCCAGCGGAGGTCTGAAGGACGGCCCTTTAGAGGCCCACAACGCGGAGGTTTGGCAGGACTAATGAATCTCAGAGCTACACGTTAATGATCTAAAAGACTGGTCCAAAACACTCAGCAGTCCCTTTCCGCTCGCATTCAGCCTCCTCTTGATCGCTCCTTTCCAAATAATGACAAGGCACTCTCCTCCTCTACCTTTATTGTAACCTTTGATGTCCGCCTTGTTTTCTTTGTCTTCGCGTCCCCCCCCCCCCTTCCTCCTTTTCATTCCTTTATATTGCGTGGCTGTCACTCATCTATTAAGGCAACAAATGGAACAAGGAAAACATTCAGAGAGCGTATTGTGGTTTGCTCTTTATTTCTTTTGAAAGCTCTTGAATTTGGATTTATTTTTGTACCCGGGCCGCACATTGGATCAGCAGGGTCTCTTGTATTTGTCGTGGCTTTGTCACAGGATTACAGGGGCATATTTGTTTTATTATCCACATTTATTTTCCCCCTATAGTGTAATGTTCCTTTCTTACTGTTTCTATGTGACTGTTTCTTTTCCCATTGTACCAACGTGACAATACAAACCCATAGTGTTGTACTTGGCCCTGGTGGTATGTTGCCATGCAGTTTGTTTTTTCTCAAGGTTTAGAAATAAGCTTTAGAGATTTGTGCCTGTGTCCCTTTACAATGGAGGTAAATGGAACTGAGCTTATAGAAATGATGTATATAAATAACAGCAACATGAGAAACTGAGTCCGATCAAAACATTTTTAAAGGGATTGTTTTCAGAAAGAAGTTCCATTCAAAAATATGAACCATATTTCAACTTAATAATTTGCATTTTCCAGACAAAATGTATCATAAAGCGGAATTCATTTGTCATAAAACCTGGCTACAATTCAGATGTGACCAGGATTTTGCCCACAGTAATATATTTCTTAATTCGACTGCTTTAGAACTCTTTTAATGGATTTATAAAATAATATTGGTTATTGTACAATAGAAAAATGTCTTGCCACATGTTATCTTACGCAATGAGATATATGCTTTGGCTTTTTTGTTTGAAATAAAAAACAAATCATGTGTTTATTTTACATGCACAAAATTGCATGACATACTTTTCGTACCAGAGATGATCTCAGCCTGCCTTACTAACAAATGTGAAAAGAGTGTTACCCAGTAAGATGGAGGCTAACAGTATGTGTTTGGTTACATAGTGAGTGTCACAAGCTAGCAGCCTCTCTCTCCTGGTATACCTGGTTACATTCATTAGACCTTCGACATGGTCTGATTATGTTTAGCTTGAGCTGCATTTGATTTGAGATGTGTTTCTTTGTATCCTACGTGCGTGTGTGCGTGTGCGTGTGTGTGTGTGTGTGTGTGCGGTGTGTGTGTGTGTGCGGTGTGTGCGGTGTGTGTGTGTGTGTGTGTGTGTGTGTGTTGATTGGCCTTGATTAACAGACTGCCAGGCACTAAAAGCCGAGCTACAGCCTTTGTAATGTAGCATCTTGAGCTGGTTATTTCCAATCATTCCACAGGAGGCCTTGAACCTGGGGTTGTGTGTGTGTGTGTGTGTGTGTGTGTGTGTGTGTGTGTGTGTGTGTGTGTGTGTGTGTGTGTGTGTGTGTGTGTGTGTGTGTGTGTGTGTGTGTGTGTGTGTGTGTGTGTGTGTGTGTGTGTGTGTGTGTGTGTGTGTGTGTGTGTGTGTGTGTGTGTGTGTGTGTGTGTGTGTGTGTGTGTGTGTGTGTGTGTGTGTGTGTGTGTGTGTGTGTGTGTGTGTGTTAGAGAGAAAGAGAGTTTAAGCAAAAAGCTTTAATATAAGAGTGCTCAGTATATTCAAACAAGATTTTTTTATGTAACAGTAGGTGTTTCAGTTTTGTAAACAACGTGATTGCGAGTATTTTGACTGCAATTGCAATATCATTCGATATATTCAAGGTAACTATATATATATATATTTATTTTTTTGAGATAGAGGGGATGATATCCGTGGGTTCATCTTGGCAACAGACACCGCATTGGGGCCACTAACTCTAACCACTGAGCTGTCACCTGGCCCGAATTATCATTTTGAAAACATACTAACACTACAGTATCTTTGAAAAACATATTTTAAATTACATTTGTGTAATCTTTTTTTTAAAGGGTTGTACCAAAAAATAAGCTATTATTAAGTATTTTTAAAAAGTTTTACAAAGTATCGTTTGTAGACCGAGACTTTTCTGCTTCATTCAGAATTATATTTTCACACATTTTGCCTTAACCAAGAAATGTGGATATTGCGATTTTGATAAAATGTTGAAAATGTGTGCAGCCCTATAAACAAGGTCACCTGGTTATCTGCAATTCAAAGTGAGCGATGGATAAAAGTGAATGAGGGAATTTTTAATACAACTCAAACTTAGAACTTAGGATTCATCTGTAACGATAAACAAGGAACCACTTTTCACCAAAACATATTATCACGTGTGAAAGGTTTGACCAGATACCACACAGTATGATTCTCAGTACAACTACTTGGAAGGCTCTCGATTGAAATATTTCCCTTCAAATCTATTAAAAAGCTTTCCCGACCTGGAGAAAATCCAATGTTTTTCACACTTTTAATACTGTATATCTGTGTGTTTCCAGCCAAGCTGAGCAGCCAGGATTCATACAACAACTTCACCAACAACAACATGGGGAACCCGCGGCTGGCCCCGCTGCCGAGCCTCACCGTGGTGCTGCCTCTGGCTCAGATCAAACAGCCCATGACCCTGGGCACCATCACCAAGCGCTCCGGGTAGGAAGCACACTCATGCACATCTTAACCCTTCACTTTAACCCCATATTGTGCATTTATAAGCCATCCAAACACACTTAAAGGATTGTAACCCACTGTAATATAGCTGTAAGCAAGGATTCATCGTATCAGTGTTGGTTTCATAGCAATCATCGGATCGCTACACATTATCCCTTACTTGTCAATCATTCGTAATCTCTTTATACGCTAGTTACATGAGTTATGACATGACTGGTTGCTTCCAGATCATTGGTGGATCATAGTCTGTATAACTAAAGAGCCACAGACATTATTCATCCGTCAAGAATAAATAAGACAAATGTTTGAGTTCAAGACAATCAAATAATATACAAACATCTTGCCTCGGAATGCAGGAAATTATTTACACTATTTTTATTTGGATGTGTTGTAGTTTTATTTTGTTGTTGTTGGGTTGTTGATTGCATGTAACAGCAGGAGTTGTTGAAGAAACGTCAATACATCTACATACAACATCATTCAGGGTTATAGACTGTTGAATGACTTCTAGTACATTGAAGGATTCTTTATATATTTTGTTTGAAAATACATTTAGACTTAACAAAATCGAACAAATCAAAGTTAAGGAGTTGCCTCATGTTGAACTATTATTGCCAAATCATGGCACTTTCTTTTTTTAATAACTTAGTTTAATTTCACTTTTTCATAGTTTATACATCGAAAGAAATAAACTATATAATAACAATTTAAAAGTAAACAAACATATTCACACTTTGGCCTACTTTTATTTCCATTTTCATTCAGCTGTATCCACAAAGTACATCGGATGGATATTACATTGATATTGCACATCCACATTATACATAGAAAGGACATTTGGATGAAAACAAATTGTAACAATAACAATGTCAAAGAATACAAGAGAAAATAAATAAATAGTAAAATGTAAATGTGAAGAATAAAAAAAAGGGAAAATTAATAAATAAAATGTTTAAATATATAGGTATAAATTAGACTTATCTTTTTGTCATTGTAGTTGTTTTAAATAAAAACTCTCTTTTGTAAAAGTCTCCCAGGTGCAATGCACTGAGTATACAAATGAATCCTTTAAATGGTGACGTCTCCAGAGTGTAAAGGTGTTATTGGCAGCCTATCAAACTCATTTACAGTTTGGCTGCCGTTGAAGAAAATGTAAATCACACTGTATTTCATCCTTAACTTCAGTCCTTTGATTTGCTGTCTTTTTCTATCAATCACACTGTAAAAACACTGTATTGTGTCAACAAAGGCCGGAGCTTTTTCTCTCGCATCCATCCGATGCTCATGGATTTCTTGTCTCAGGCCACCACTTTTTTGCATAGGCTAATGAAGCAGAACAGACATGCGAACTTAGTCTGAGGGCTGTTTGGAAAGCAGATAAAACACATAATTCAACGAGAATAGAAATAAAAACCCTTACAATAATTTAAAATAATATTCAAGATACGCCAGATGCAGTTTAACCCTGCTAGCTTCCAGTATTATAAGAAAAAATGAAAAGTACCTTCGTCCTCGGTTATTTTTTCTTCTTCTTTTAGAGCTGGATCGTCGCCATGCATTGAAATCATGTAGTTTTAAGACCATGAGCAACAACAGGCCTTTTCTAAGTGCATTTACATACAGTACAGGTGGCTCCACAAATATGGGCGGATTTCAATATTTTTATTTAAATGTAATTTTCATGCCGTGTTTGAATATGAAATGCTATAATGATGTGAACGGACAGTGATGGATTTATTTCTCGTGTGATATTTGATAAGTGAGCTTAAGAGACGTGATCCTGCGGTGGAAGTGACCGACATTAAGCCTTTCTTTCAAAGCATTAAGATGACTTGCAAAGTGCGTTCGGTTTGCAACACGTATTATTGCTTTCGGTGTCCCGCTTTGGAGTATTTATTATGATGTCCTGACACTGGTGGTTTGCATTTGGTTTTGGCATTGTAATGTTTAACGTCATGCAATGCAGGGTTCTCTGAGTCGAATCAAATTCCCTTTCAATGAGAGCTTTTGTGTTGTTTGTGTTCATTTTAAAGTTATTTGTTGCTATTCTAAGTACAACTTTTTTTTTAGATGTTTATTTTCATCTTTATGTCATCTGTAATAATGTTTATATTCTATTTGTATTATGCCTGTACTTGCTGTAGTCCTATTTCTATTTTTACATTCACTTGACACTAATTTCTCTTATTTATGTTTGCCTCTATCCTAATCACTCATTATTATTGCTATTATTTTTTATTCATTTTTCACTGGCCGATGGATGTTTAAATGAGTTATTTGTCCATTATTATGCCTCCAACTTTCTGTGTAAGCAGTAATAACTACATTTATTTATGTATTTATTTTTATTTATTTCCCTGCTGCAAAGTGCTTCTTTGTCTGGTGTTGCTCTTTCCAAATTCCACAAGTTTGTCATGGTCATACCTTTGAAATATACCGCAGTATATTATTTTAAACCTTCCGATACTAGGCGCAATATGTGTGTTTAGATATAAGTCTTTATTTTTGTTCTTAATTTTATTAAAATATATAACCAAATCCTTTGCCTAAATAAAATGTAATCAGGAACGTTTCAAATCAAAAACAATCTCATCAAACCTTAAGAATCTGACCAGATATTTAATACTGACTTTCATTTATTTATACTTTTCAATACTTTGTGTTACAAATACATGTTCGCTCGGTGGCAGGAAATAGTGCAATTGTAGGGGGAAATGTTCAACACACATTTTAAAACACATTTTTTACTCTAGTGAATATTTCAGGCAGTAGGACTTTGAATATGGGACTTGGTAGTAATAGATTACAGTGTGGGAATGAATGTTAATGAGGAAGCATGTCACTGTGTGCAATAGGGCGGCTCTTCAACTAACTTTTCACGCATACAGAACATTTTACAGGTACAATCAAAAGACATAATGGCAATATTTGAAATGGGACCCCCATTATCTACCCAAAGCTATAGAATAAGGGCCCAGACACTTTACAGAAAGTATTTAAAACATATATTACTAACACTTTTAATATTTGAGAAAGTTGATGTAATATAAAGCCTCATTGACAAGCTAAAAAATGCCTTAACACCATCAAAATACCCTAAAAATAAACGAATCTAACCATATACTAAATGGTCACTAAACGTATATGTCATCAGTATAAACATTGGTCTAAAATAGGTCAAATATAATAAACACTGACATTAAAGTAAGCTCAATGGCTCAGGGGAATGAGTTAGTATAAGCATAACATGTATCATCACACACACACACTTTTTAAAAACAATAAATGAATAGCCACAATTATCTTTAACCCTAAAACCATCTAATTATGTACACATTTGACTAATATTTCACATTTAAGACCCATTTCACTTATTTAAAAATGTGAAATATTGGCTGTGTAGGACAGTACCAGACTGCCTCCTTCTTACCTCCATCCAGGCCGGAGGAGGTGTCAGTATTAATGCATCAGGACATGCAGCTGTGCGGCCTGCTCCTGCATGCACACGGCTGCACCAGTACCCCTAACACACACACACACACACACGCACACACACACACACACACACACACACACACACACACACACACACACACACACACACACACACACACACACACATACACACATACACACATACACACATACACACATACACACATACACACACACACACACACACACACACACACACACTCTCTGAGTGGAGCAACATGTTTGGCCCCTAGAGTGGGGGCTGATATCATATGCTTTCACGCTATACTTGCACAGGAGTGCCCAGGCACCATCTGTCTGTGCAGCCAGTCCCCTCTATCTTTGTGTGTGTGTGTGTGTGTGTGTGTGTGTGTGTGTGTGTGTGTGTGTGTGTGTGTGTGTGTGTGTGTGTGTGTGTGTGTGTGTGTGTGTGTGTGTGTGTGTGTGTGTGTGTGTGTGTGTGTGTGTGTGTGTGTGTGTGTGTGTGTGTGTGTGTGTGTGTGTGTGTGTGTGTGTGTGTGTGTGTGTCAGCTGTATTTACACCTGTATGGGCAGATCACTGTTGGCAGGGCTGCAGAGGAACACACCAGCTGCTTAACCTACATTCCCTACTAGGCTGTCTTTGTGTGCACTCTGCCGTGACACAGACACATGCACAAATAGACACTTTGATGAAGCTTTTTCACCCTTTGTGTGACCAGGCTCATTTAATGGATACCTTCATGGACTCTAGAATGTGTACCAATATGCACATTCTGTAGTTGCCTCGCATTTTGTTTTAGTTTTTTGGGCAATTTTTTGCCTTTATTAGAGATATAGATTTGAAATGGGACGATAGAAGGGATGACATGACAGCAGCCATGATTCGAACCGGTTTCCTCCTCAGCGTTGACACAACCCCAGTACCGGCCAACAGCTCTACCAAAAAGGCAATGCAACAGCCAGTCTGTTTTAAAGGAAGCTTTCAAGCCTCCTTCCCTCTTATTTTACATTTTGGTGTTGTCCTCCTGTCAAAGGGAGGTACACTCGGATGTAGCTTAGCATCCGCCTGATAACCCCCCTCCAAAAGGGCAGGTCATGGAGTGGAGGAGCACAGCCAAGCTTCTGCTAGTCCTCAAACTCTTCTAAGTCCCGAACAAGGAGAGGGTTGTCAGTGTCTGGTTTCCTGACATTTGGTAGAAAGTTGGCCCGAAATGAATGAAATCTCTATAAAGAACAAGTCAAAAGACTCTTTTGGGCGAACTGTCACTGTAGACTCTGTCAAAAGATTAAGAGAAAAAAAAGACCAGAGTTGTGTGAGGGTTTAACCCAGAAAATCTGAGAGTGACACATTTTAAATTTACAAGCAGACAAACGATTGCACACTTATCCCATCTACACACTTTAATACCAACGAATGAAAATCCAAATAGAAAGATTGTCGCGCGCAAAACAAAACACCACCCTCGACCAAATCCCGCTGATGACAAATGCAAATGCAAATAGAGTGCAGGCAACGTAACAATAAA